TTTTTGTCAAATTGGAAATCGGAAAAAAATCATCGGTGGCAAATCACGAGAGCTGTCCAAATCCGGTCTCAGATTTTGTATCTGCAAAAAACACCGCCCTCCAGAAAGTAAGCAAGATTTCTTGAATATCTGAACATATCGAGCGAAGGACGAAAAAAAAAAAAAACTCCGTACGAAGATGCGCCTTGAAATGTCGATTTACGCGGTATTTTCAGATTTCGGAATAAGTACCCCCACCCCGAGAAAAGTGCACCTTTGTGCAGGGGAAAATATTGTGAATATTTGCCCGAACGCCGAACGGACCATAGAGCAAGCGCAGATGTGCGGATCAACAAAAGTACTTGTACAGCAGTACAGTCGTCCCCGCTCTACAGACACCATTTTTAAAGACACTGCACGCTTGAAGGACACAAAAATCTCAGAAACATGGTGCCCCGCAGATGTGAAAAAGTAGAGGGGGGTAGGGTTTTCCACCATTCGACCCCCCCCAGAAAATGTGCTGCAGCACCTGTAGATCCTGAAACATCAACAGCGGTCTGCTGCAGCCGCACACTGCGTGTGGGTGTATGGAAAGATTCATTCCATCTGCTAGCGGTTCGTCTGCTGCCGGCTTGAAGCCATGCGGCGAACCGAGGTGCGGTGACAGGTGTGCCTCGTCTTGACCTTTTGAGAGGCGCGGTGTCCTCTTTGTCGCTGTGCGTTCCCGACATTTTTGGTCTCTGTGTTTCTGCGTAACCTACATTTTCCTAAGTGTCGTTTTACAACCTTCGATATTTCTCAGGTGCGGTAGCGAGATCTTGGGCAAGATATTCACGGGGAGGACAACGCCTAAAAATAAAATAAAGCAAATAATTAAGCCCATAATCAACACCAGCGCACTACCGTCGTGTACATGTACGATGCGTAGGTCGTAGAACACCATCGCTTTCAGCGTTTTGGTGGTACAGTACGGGCAAATTCAAACGATGGTATGCAAGTATGTGTAAGATAAGGTTACACCATTAGTAGTCAAGTCAGTGCTGACTAGTCTGATGGTCTAACATTTGGCGATAAGGAATTCACGCACGGGGTCAAAACCCAACTGATCACTTTCCCAAGCACCATTCAGTTCTTCTCGGGCAGCGTCTGGCGAGGGGTCGGTCCCCGGAGCTCTCTACTCACGAACCCGATAATGTCATCCAGCCGGGTGCAAATGAGCTCTGAGCATCTTTTGTAAGATAAAGTTAAACCATCAGACTACTCGCTGAGTAGTCCAATGGTGTAACTTTATGTTACAGTATGTCTTGCAGCACAACAGCAGCAGTGGTTGCGACCTTCAAATCACCTTGTGTCGTAGGTTTCAAACAACACCTCTTGTGGTCGCCTTTGTGCTGCGAATGTGCACCTTTTGACAACATATTTTTCGCCTTCATTGACCCCGGGGATGGTGCGTTAGTGGCCCCGGAATTAGTAGTCCAATGGTGTAACTTTATGTTACAGTATGTCTTGCAGCACAACAGCAGCAGTGGTTGCGACCTTCAAATCACCTTGTGTCGTAGGTTTCAAACAACACCTCTTGTGGTCGCCTTTGTGCTGCGAATGTGCACCTTTTGACAACATATTTTTCGCCTTCATTGACCCCGGGGATGGTGCGTTAGTGGCCCCGGAATTAGTAGTCCAATGGTGTAACTTTATGTTACAGTATGTCTTGCAGCACAACAGCAGCAGTGGTTGCGACCTTCAAATCACCTTGTGTCGTAGGTTTCAAACAACACCTCTTGTGGTCGCCTTTGTGCTGCGAATGTGCACCTTTTGACAACATATTTTTCGCCTTCATTGACCCCGGGGATGGTGCGTTAGTGGCCCCGGAATTTTACAGACACTTCCCCGCGTTAAAGACACTTTTTTGGGGTCGACGGTACTGCTGTATGCATAGACTAGCGTTGCACATCAACCCAGAGGTACGCAACCTGCTGCAGTAGGCACCTAATGTACCTGACGCATGACACGTGATGGTGTGGTTTTTCCTCCGAGACTTGGCGAGACCGACGTCTGTTCACTTGTCGGCCGACTGGAGCTATTTAGCTGTCCGTGCCGTTCGAACTGTCTGGAGTCGGTGCTTTCTTGTATCCAATCGAGAACGCTTGGTACACAAGAAGCGGCTCAAACGCTACATAACGTTGCACACACACCACTCGTGGATTGGTGCTCCATACTCCACGAAAACAGACAGGGCGGTGATTGCCTTTCTAGAGAATGAATACAGTAGTTCCACATGTCTGTTACGCCAGTTGAAAAAGTGGTCACATATACTTGGTGGCTTTGGGTGAGGAATTGTTGGCAGCACAACCGATACCAACACCATAACACATCACACCGCTCTTTATTTGAGCATAAAATTGCGAGAAAGTTAAAGTTTTTTTTAAACTTTGGTCCGGAAGTGTTGCTAAAAACCCTTTTATTGCACGCTCTCACACCGCTTTTTATGGCTCCACAATGTTATTGAAGAAAAGTTGAAGATTTGCAACTCTTCTTGCAACTTCCCTCATGTACGCTCAGTATGAGAGCAAAAAGTTGCGCAAAAGGTTTTGAAACTTTTCCTCGGGAGCAAAAAGTTGTAACCTGGAGGAAGCGTTCAACCTTTTTCGCGACGAATGTGTCGAGCAACAGTTGCGCGGCACAACTTCCGCCAATCCACGTCAAGCTGCTACCGGCACCGCACCCGTAGACTCTCTTCAGCTTGGATTGTGGGAAGGTTGTGATCAGCGATATCTCGACATATATATACTTAACAACTTTCCTCATGAATAATATCTGGAAGGAAGTGATACCATGGGCCGTTGGGCAATGCCAAGGTTTGGGGCCGTGAGGTGCCGAATGCGCTGGGAAAAAAAAATGTGCTGTGCATGACCGTCAACGGCCGCGAGCTGTTAGTTCAAGTTCGGTGTTTTTGACCGCCACGGGTGGGTTTGGTTATCCACCGATAACTTTCGGAAGGAGGAAGCAACGGCAATAGCAAGGCCACTCGGCGGGAGGTAGCTCTCTGCTCCGTCTTTCATGCCCAAGGTTTGGTGCCGTGGGGTATCGTGCGCGTCGGGAAAAAAAAATGATTGCCCCTAAAATACCCATGTCAGAGAGCGGTTGGTTCAAGTTCTCGGGGATGTGCTCAAGGTTTGGTTTTCCAGCCATAACATTTCGAAGGAGGAGGCAACAGCAACAACAATGCCACCCCGAGGGAGCTAGCTCTACCCAGAATCTTTGTGGTACTAGGTTAAATGCCCTGGGGTATCGTGAGTGTGGAGAAGAAATGTTGCAACCACCCTCTCCCGCATGCTCTGACCGTTTCTTTCGCGGTGCGATATGAAAAGCGTGTGCCTTCTTCTCGCCGCTGCTAAAAAAAAAAGACCACGCCTCCGCATCCCGCCAGTCCCGTGCACAAAACTTTCGTCGTCCCATATTGAGCGTGCACCGAAAGTGTTACTGATAAGAGTTTCCGAGCAAAGTTGCAGAAAAGTTTGGAACCCCTAGTTGCAACATTCTCCTGCCATAGAAAGCGGTGTCACTATGGGGCGAAGGAGATTTTCTTCACGAGACTGGCGGAATGCGGAGGCGTGACCGTTTTTGTTTAGTAAGCAACGGTGAGAAAGCAGACACACCCCTTCATACCACGTCGCGAAACCGGCCACAGCGTGGAACCCAAGCTTGGAAAACGAGTTGGTGCCACAAATCCTGGCGTTGTGCCTTCCAATCGAATCCAGGAAGACCTCGATCATGCTCACATCCAACACAAAATGCTGACACAGACTCTACAAATGTGAATGTTGGTGTTTTGCACAGCAGCCGCATCGCAGGCAAAACCAACTCGTCGTTCAAGTATTCTGACTTGGTCGTTCATCTATCGCGTGGATCGTGCGCGCGTGTGGCGGAAGAGGGTCTACGTGTGTGGTACGGGCAGCAGGTCCTTGGCGTGGATTAGCGGAACTCTCGTCGTGAAGATTTTCTCTGCGCTTTTGTCGCGAGAAAGAGTTTGCAAACATTTGTTCCAAATCGTGCGATTATTGTCAACAGCAAAATTGAGAAAAGTTGCCAGAAACGTTTGCAAACTTCAACTTATCTCGCAACTTCTTTTGCTCCCATCAATCGCGGTAGGACACAGTTGCTGATGAAAGGGTTTCTGGTTCTGAGCGCGATGGTTCTGGTTCGGTCTGGACCAGGTGTAATCAATACTGTACGGAGAAGGTTCTTGACAAAACCACTCCCTGTGGATGTCGTTATCGACACTCGCGCCCTACTGTATATCATCTACAGTCCGCCTGTTTTACGCCGGTATTACCGTCTTCGGACCCACAGCACATGCCGACTCAAACGACCTCGTTCATCGCAAGCCCCTACGACAAATCGTTGCGCTTACTACGTGCCTTACAGCACTGTCTACAGTAACAGGCACAGCAGGGGAAATCCAGCTTGGAAGCGTTGAGGGAGGAGGTGAAGGAAATGGCGCATCGAGGTACACTTTCACCCCGTTGGCAAGGGGCAACCTCTACTTCCTCTGCCCGGTCCAGGGGGGCTGATGTACCTGATGAGGAGAAGGAGATTCTTGCAGACCCGGAGCGCTCGGGCCCGGTTCACGCCATTCGTGAGTCCACTTGTCCACTTACATGTACCGACCGTCTTCAGCAGCTTAAGTCCTACGTGGTGCTGAGGCGTTGGCCGTGGGCACTGTACCGACGTATGGGTGACCAGGCTGGGCGTGATGGTTGCGCTAGCGTACATTTTGGTCACATGCTGTGGTGGCCGGTCGCAGTGCGTGCTCCTTGCTGTGTTATTTGTGTCATCTGTGGAATCTGTCTACGATGTTCGATGTAATGGTAAAGAGCGTGGTAATGCACGATGTGTCTCCTGTACCCAATGGCTTGCGAACATGTCTTGCACTACAGCAATGGTTCTGCACTACATATTGTAGTATCAGAGCGTTCCAAACGGTGTGCGAAGTGTCTGCGCATGTGCTCTGGGTGTTTTTTGCGCTGCTTTCCCGGCGTGGTCGAACAACTAATGAACACAGCCGTTTTTGCGAGTGATGCATACGTTGGTGTATTGTGTTTTGGGGGGGGATGAGAGAATGTCGCCCAGTCGCCGTTTGCATCGTTGGAGTGCTTTGTAAAGGGGGGGAAAGCACCGTAGGTGCGTAGACAGCCACAGTTTCTCTTTTGGTGTTTTCATCTCGGCGCGGCGCCAAGTTCCCCCTGGAAAAGACATCGCTACAGCCGTACGTTCAGCACGGGGCCGTTTTGCTGGACGGAAAGAGTACGATAACCTACGTTAGGACGCTGCTCTCGCCACGATGATGACTACGTGACTTCAGTATCAAGACATGCTAACCTCACAACATCATGGCACAGAGCATGCAGGATGCCCCAAGCTTGTCACAACGTCTAATTTTCGAAAACCCGCTACCCTCGCGCCCGTTCGAATGAACGACGTCTGCAGGGGCTCGAGCTCCAAGCAGCTACCGCTACATCTTTCTCGCCACGCTTGAAGGGGTCTTGTCGGCTTCTTCTTTTCGTTCTGCACGCGCCGTCTCTGTGCCGATAATTAGCGCCTTCCCTCTCCACAACCCAGCCGAGGAGGCGTTGATTTCAGCATCAGCATCAGCTTTCGCCGTTGCTGCAGCAGTGCGTTCCGGCGCCGCGCTAGCCCTGGGGACGCCTTTCTTTCTCTTGGCAGCACGGTGCGCTATTCTGGCCCTGAGCCGCGTGAGGATTCCAGCGGTGCAGAGGCTACAGCTACAGCAACCCAGGCTGGGATTTCCCCTGCCCACGGGAGTGGACGAGAACGTTGCGGTGGACCTGTACATAATCGGCTTGGCGGCGGCGGTGTTGGGCGGGTGTGTACCGGCGCTCGAGATGGCGGGAATCTTGTTGGGGGTTTCTCTCAAGGGAAGGTCACCTGTGTGGGTCGTTTCGGCTTTCGTTGTGTTGATTCCCGTGGTATATCTGGCCCTGGGCGCGTGGCTAAACCTCAGTTCACCAGGTGAAGGGTTCGTCGCCCGCACGAGGCCCACCACAGCGATGTGGGGACTGTCCGCAGCGGGGCACGTTATTCTGCTAGCCGGGTGCTTTTATTCTCCGGACGTGTCGAGAACTTTGGGCTTTTTGCTTGGACTGGTGCACATCGTGAGGACGCTGCTCCCCGCCTTCGCTTATCCTGCGGGCTCGGGGGCTGCGGCGAGTGAAGAAGACGACATGGGTGCATCGGCGCACCTCTGATTGTGTCGGGTTTTTCATTGTATTGATGTGCTTGGTTGGTAACGCGGGAACCCTCGAGCGTGCTGGCTGAGGCGTTGGGATGACAAGAAAAAGAAACTACTTAGACTAACGGGTGTATGGTTGAACTTCTTTTGTTGCGGGAAGTTTGGGGAGGACACAACAGAGCGATACATCGCACACGTGTCATATTTATCTGTTATATTCTAGGTCCATGTTATCCTTGGCCCTCACTTTGCGCAGAACTCTTCTACGACCACTGGTTTACCGAGCACTGCGCTTCGACTAATGCTGTATGTAAATGCTCTGGTGCGGTTTCCAAGAGTTTAAAATGTAGTATGCTGCTGTAGCTTGGCTGAGTAGGACCAAGGGTAGACTACCTCTTCTTGTTCCCCTCCTAACTTGGGCAGGAGAAGGGGCCGGAGGAGGGTAATCTTGAGATGAAAGCAAACCACCAGCATGTAGGGCAAATGGATCGACGTGTTGCGTGCAATGTGTTCCATTCCAAGTCGTGAGTGGTGTGTAGATACTTGCACACGGTTCCACATCGTATTGGTTGCGCCTACAGCACGCAGTGACGAGCGAACTAACTGCACATCCGATTTCCATTCTTCACTACTTACTGCAGTCGATTTTTTCTTCACGCGTAGTAGTACTGACCGGAGACAGCAGCAGTAGGCAAATAAGGCTTATCTATGTATTGATCTACACACTCGCTTCGATGAACGTGTCAATGTAGAGGGAAACGGGCGTCCACCATTGAATGTATGCATACAGCGGGGATAGCTGGTGCACACACTTTCTTCGATGGATCGGATGAGACCATCGCCTTTTTCTTGGAAGGGGGGGTGCATGCATGCTCTCTCGATGCACGACCCCCCCATCCGGCCTGGAGCCAGACTCACATGATGATACAGCCTGCAGCCAGCCAGTAGAGGTAATACCGTGTGTGTGACACTGCTCACGCGATGGCGGGGAACGGGGGCAAGAGGAAGAAGAACAAAAAGAAGAGTAAGGTGAGCCCTTGACGCATGGTAGGCTGGTTGTCTCAGCCATTCGAGCAAGAGCAGGTGAACTGAAACATGACAGCATTCGCATGCATGCTGTTCCATGCGCACTCTTGTACTCTCGATGAGAAGACCATACCGCAGATACCCAGACACACGCGTGCGTTGGTGTGTGCTCCTAACGTCACGCCTCTCTCCCGCGTCGGCTCCACAGGCGATGCATGCAAGGTGATGCGTGTTGTATTTGTGTGCGGCTATCATGAATCCAGTTTGATTGGTGATGTCTCTATGGTAAGATGTTCAACTAATCGACAAACTTTGGCAACAGCAGGATTGGCATGATGACGTCATGCAGTGATCGCCTGACGAACGTTCCACGCGCACATGGGTACCGCAACCTGCACACATTGTCCTGCCCTCCCAGAGAGAGCTCTCCCAGCACCATCTAGATACCGCCTGAGGCAGCAATAACAACTTTGGTTTGGTGTGTCGCTTGTCCAAAACACAGCAGTACCGCCTTAGGGTACTGCAAGATACCACACCACCTTGGACCGATTTCCAAAGCTCGATTTCTGCACAGGAGAAGGAGCGGCGGAGCTGAAAACTGCGGCGTTGGAGCCGTCTCGTCGAGAGCTTTCCGACAAACTTCATTACTGTATCATGTTAGTTGTGGAGTACCTACCTACTGCTGTCGTCGAGCGTTGAAAATCGGGCCAGGGGGCGTGGTACCCTGTCACCTACGGTGCTAGACTAGATAGCAGTACAGCAGTCTCGTGCTGTTGAGTGTTGAGCCCTGGCCATATGCATACCTCTGTAGATGGAGAGACCGATGCAGGATTACGCAGAATACTTCATTTGTCGTGTGCCTTAGGTTTGTATATTGTAGCGACACGGATTCCACCTTCCTTCCCTAAAACGCACCACGCCCCCGTTGTTCTTTCCCAAGTTCGCAAGAAGCACACCCGTCTGGCATGTATGTGCCTGTGTGTAAGAAATGCGTGGCCTCCAAGGATATAGACTATCGATATTGGCCTGGGGATCGGTTTATTGGCGTGCATGCTGTCTCCAGATCTGCGAGAGGTAAGCTGTCTCATGCCCGGAAGGTCCCGAAGGCGTTGTGGCGGCCCTACCCTCGTGAATGTCAGCCAGCACCTTCGTATTTCCAGGTTGGCGTGGCCCGACATTGACGAGAGACAGAAGAGAGACAAAAGAGAGTTGAGAGGTATAGAGTGCGAAGATACATGCAAGGGACCTTAGCCTCGCCTTAGGCGTACCCCCCCCCATTTGGATGACTATTTTCAGAGCCTGCGGGCCTGCTCTACAGTGGTGTGGGCAGATTGCAGCAGGACAGCAGTACACGAGCATGGCTACGGGAAATGTGGTCAGTATTTTTCTGCTTTCCCATGCAGCGTGGATCACTGCAAACGCCTCTGCGATCGGTCAAGATTGTAAGCTCAAACACAAGAAACCCCAACCTGCACGATGTCCTCGTGCACTAAAATTATTTCCGTCTCGCATTTGAATGTTGGTTTTGTTGTTTTTTTCTTTGACCTGCCTAGGTTGCTGACCTGCAGCCGCGGAGGAGCACGCTAACACCGGATCAGAGGCTCAGGGTCCAGAACATGCACGAGGTATCGAGTTGTCGGTGAAAAGGTTATCAACTTTTAGAAAAGTGGCATTCGGAGATTTTGCTACTGGTGGTTCGCTTTCATGCACACAGCGGTAGGGAATAGCGCCATCCTTCCCTTAAGATAACCCCAAAGGGCAATCAATGATCCGTTACCCGATCTCTACCGATGGAAAACGTGACAGTGCTCAGGCTGCTCTCGTTGCAACCGTCTTGTCGACAAGTTGAGGGGCACCGAACGTTACAATCAGTTGGCGTTGACACGTCAGCATTCTCGTGGTAAAATGGATAAAACTATGCGCTACGAACAGGCTGGCAGGGATATGGGGAAGGGCAGAACATTAGTGGAGATGTGTGCATGTGTGTGCATGTGTGTGTGAGCTGGCCCACGGTGGTATGCCCTTGTACGCAGCTGACCTGTCCAAGAGAGTGAGCAGTGTTGCAGTCGTGGTGGAGAATGGGGCCGCAAAGTGTGCGTCACGTTGTCGCAATATGACCTGTTTTAAAGGAAACACGTGTCGTGTGGATCGGATCAGTTTCCCACAGGCTCAGCACAGCAGTGCTCCATGCGTGGTGCGGGTGGGCACTTGAAACGGTTGTGGCGAGGCCGTTGTTCGTGCGTTTCGATGACGACAGCAATAGCAATTACGCCGTCACGTATCGACCTCCGATATAATCAGTGCGTTGCCGGCACGTCTCGCTCGCTCGTACCGGGCTCCTTGGTGCGCGCCACGGAAAGGTTAACTGGTGCGTTCTCTGTGTGTTTAGTGGTCCTGTTAGATATCTAGACACTGTATCCAAGTTTTTTTCAGTGAACCAGCCACACAATCAAAACTTGATTTGTCAATGGAAAATACGTCATGTCAGATCCTAGGCGAAGTATGGGAGCCGTTCAAGACTTCCGAGGGGGCGATTCGAGGCTTGGAGACAGGCAAGCATGATGCGACATATGCATGCGTAACGCACGAGTTAGGCAGTAAATTGTCAAACCGGTTCGCCTGTGACTGCGGGAGACGTCCCTGGTCAAGATGTTCAACGAGAGGGTATTCGACACACCGAGGGAACCCCATTGTACTACATTAATTTTTTATGGAAGACATTCACTGCATCAGCTACAATGTCAAAGTACTAGATAGGGGGCGAATGAGCCGCGGGTGATGACTCAATGCCGTGCAGTAGTCTATCTGCGATGCTGTGCAAGGTGCGAGAGACGCTGCTTTCCAGGCAGCAACGCAGCAGCCCAAACGCGCAATTCAATTACTTGCGGAACTTGTTTGGAGCGGATCTTCCCGCTGGACGTTTGTTGAAAATATTAGACTAACGGCGGAGGAACACGAACAACACATGCTCCCTCTGCTGCAACAGCAGTACCGCCAAACTATAGGCACCTCACAGCACTGACACAGACACAAGTGGACAGTGGTAGCTTACACGAATGCACTTACAGTACTGCTGCTGCTGCTGCTGCAATGGCTATGGCAATTCCTCCTACCTATCTTTCTATCTTACTCCTTATTCGGCAGTGCATGCACGCGAGGAACACCTTGGCACCTGGCACCGAAAAGGCTCTCTCCTTGTACATTTCTCTTGCTCTTGCACAGCAGCAGTTGTTCTTCCAGGTGACCCCTCCCCACACCCCGAAGCAACAGCAACAACAAAGGTGCCTCCACGAGCTGTGCCTATGCTCCGTCTTGTGTGGTGATCAACGCCGACCACGAGGCTGTAGTACGCTCAGAAATTGCGGGCGCGAGACTCTGGCGTAGCCTGCAAAAAAAAAACGCCGCGTCTGTCTGCTTCGCTCAGTTTCTTCTACATTTTTTTTTGTCTCAGGTGAAAGGTAGCACGTATTTCAGTACCGATGATCCCTCCCCAAACACCGAAGCAAAAGCAATGACCATGACATTCGCCACGAGCTGTGTGTGTGGCTCCCTTCCGTCGCCAGTGCCGTCTTGCCCCTCCTAGCGGTGTTGCGTGCTTAGCTGCTTGCTTCCTTTGTTTCTCCTGGTTTGAACCGAGCAACTATTCCTGTAGCGTTTGTGTGTTTGCACACGTCTCGTCCAACTCCGGGGGACGAGGGCAAAAATGTCCGATGACTTCGGGGACAAATGCCTGTCAAGCACGGCCATGTATTTTCGGAGCTCGACGAAACCGGTGTGACGATGAGTGCCCTAATTAACGTTCCCCGCACAACCCAGCAGATCGTAAATCGGTGCTCTTTAGACCCTGTTCTCGTCTAATAAAGGCGATAATCTATTGACGTGCTGCTCCCGGCGAGGGGTTGCGGAAAGGTCGCTCTACAGCGCGATAGTTGAAAGAGCCGGACATGTAGAACCTTTTTTCTCTCTTGAGGAGTAAGGGAGAATATGTCGCTCTTCGCGCTCCGCGGCTCGTTCTTATCATTGTTTCGACCCGAACGTTGCTGTGCTGCTCCCAGACGCCGCGCCATGGCTGGAGCTAGAGTTCTGGGACTCCCTGGCGGAAGCCTTCATGAGGTATTTCGGGCAGGCCATCACCCTCCAGGTGACAGTTCACCTGCAACAATTTACCTGATTTGGCTTTCTACCTTGTCGCCCTTCTGGGTGGACCAAGACACACGAAGTACGATAGTTTCGGTACTACCCAATTTATTTTACCAGCAGCTTTTCTTTTGTCACGACGGGCCGTAGGGGTGGACGATGTGTAGGCGTGCTTTTGGCGTGCTTTTGGCAATGTCGCGGGCGACAGACCCTGATGTCATCTTGATCTATAATATCGAAACAGCAAGGTACCCCGACCGCCGTGCGAACTCCACACATGCGCCACACCGAAGCACGCCATACGTACCCATACCGTACGTTGCCATACCGCGGTATGTCAATCGTGATTATGTCATCGCTTATCAACGGCATCATCATCCCGAATTTAACACTGTGAAGCTCGTTTTTTCCTCCAGGTGGACACAGCAGGACTAATGAGGGCCCAGAAGGCGATAGTTAGAGCCAATGCCGCCGCCCAATCCCTCGAGGATAGTCTTACGGACAGCAAAACGGGAACCACGGAAGCAGCAACTCCAAATGGCGATATTGGAAACCTCCTGAACAACATCACTGGTGATGCTAGCGTTCCCACCGCTAGCGTGCGGGAAGAATCAAACAGAAGCAGCGGTGGCGGCAACGGAGACACGCAGGAGGGAGGGGCGCGACTGCAAGCCATTGAGGAAGGTGGTCGGCAAGGGGGGAACGGGAGCGGGGGGGTGGACGGGCAGGAGTTGGAAGAAGGCGAGGAAAGAGGCGAAGCTTCGAACGCCAGTGAGAAACGGCTTGAGATGCTTCCGATGGGGGCTGTTGGGCACCTCGGGAGGGCAGACCGGCTGGGAATCATCAGAAAGACGGTGCCCAGGGAGAGGAGAATGGCGGTGTTGCAGCGGCTCTTTCACCTGGCGCAGGGTGAGTGTGTCAGCAGCGTGTTGAAAGTGATGCTTTGCTGTAGTTGTGGGGTGCGGGCGAGATGCTTTCGTTTATGGTTGATCGGGTGACACAGCAGTCCATGGGGCGGGCGTTGGGGCATTGAGGGCGACAATGGATGTTGCATGACCTTTGCTGCTTGAAGATCGACAAGGAGAATAGCGATCAATAATAGCAGCATCGACTTCATACGATACGTTTTCCATGCTGGGAACGGCAGCCGTGAAGTTGTAGGCATGACGATAGAAGTTCTTGCGGGGCCCGGTGGCGAAAGTCTAAGGTGTGTATGCATTACGTCTCTACATTCTTTCGGGACAAACCACATCAGGTGAACATAGTAACCTGTAAGCTTCGATTAGGGTGAGGCATGGCTCATCATGATAGATACGCTTCACAGGACCGGGGCTGGTTTGCTGGAATTTCGCTTGTTGCGAAAGTTTTGCATGACAAAAGGAGTGCTTGTTTCCTGGCTACTTATCCAGCCTCGTGCATAATGAGTTCCTTCCGCTTTTTTTTTCTTGTACTTGTACGCAGCCCCTGCCGAAGAGGTGGAACGGCTTGTCACCCACGTGAAGGGGCTCAAGAGCAACTCTTCGCCGGCAGAGATCAGGTACGGTGTGGTGTGGCGCGTCTGCAATCATGCAATGTGAGCAATGTGAGGTGTGCTTGTTGCGAAATGTTCTCGTTGCATAAAAATAGCTTCCGGCATCGTCTGGAGGCTTTCTTTGTGTCACCTGCATGCCAATCCATGGCGTCGTAGAGCGCCTCGTGCCGAAGACCCATTGTTAATAATACTGCAGACCCCATGCCGAGCCGTGAGAAAAACACACATATGCAAACTTGCTACATGGTGCCAAATATCTTTAGCCAGGAGGGCGTTGTGGCGTGTGATGCTGTTGTCTTCGCCCCGTGCGCGGTGCACGAAGGGACGTTAACCTGCTCAAGACATGGCAGGGCGTACGGGAAGAACGAGCCACGGCGTGGGAAGAGGCCACCGAGCAGGTACGCATTTGTCGTAGAGGGATTTTAATATTCCGCTTGCACACAAGACACGAACATGCTTATGGCGCGCAACGTGGCGGTAGCGCAATGCTTCAGACCAAAATATGACCAACTTTTATTGGGAAGGCGTTGTGGCATGGTCGGCCACATGAGCAGCCGTGTGTCATTCACTCACTCTGCATGGAAACAATCAACTATTGGGATATTCACTTTTTGGTTATGTATTCTCTCCTGCTGCAGGCCTACTGACCGTGAACAGTTGGTAATTGCACACCTCTAGTTTAGCCTTGTTTCGTGGGTCTTGTCCCGTGGATCGCCGGCGCTCTGAATGTGTTCCGTGCGGGATTCAAGTTCTGTTTTGTTGCTTGTGCCAGCAAAAGAAACACGGAGTTGAATTACAGGTGTGGCCGTGGCTCACAAGCCATTTTCTATATCGTGTTGGTAAGAACGCCGAAGCCTGTGGTACGAAACCCGTTTAATGTCCCCTCTTATGGCGAGAGTCTCGCCTAGCATGGAACCATCAGGTAGATATGTCATTCTCTTCCCTGTCTCTGTCGATACCACGCTCGTCGCTTCACGTTTCATGCATAGGTACGACTTGCTGCGGCTGCTACTGCTGCTATCGGAGCCCAAGAATCTGTGCCTGCAGCCAAGGATGGCGACGACGTGGCTGCCACAGGAAACGATGAACATGTCACCGATGCAGAGAAGAAGCAAATGGATTCCAAGCCGGGAGTTCGTGAAGGTTCTGTCGACGAGAGATGTAGCACTATTGGATAGCTGACGAGGGTGGTTGATGGCGTTTTGGCCAGACCCCTTGCCGTCTCGTTGTGTGGATCGACGTGTCCCATTACCAAGAACAAGCCTGGAGATGAGGTTGCGGCCGTTCATGGCGATTCCCCCCTCCCTAGAGCTATTGGGACTGGGAAACGTATGGATAGACGAAAGTATAGGTATTGTACGGAGACAAACCACACCACAACACTCGTGGAACTCGTGGAACGGGGCCGATTCTAAGTCTTCGGGGTCCGGGCAATGCGAGGCTGGAGGTGTTCAGCTTCCGGTTTTTCCAGTAGCGAGTTGACCGAGAGCGTGTGCTCGATGATATTTCCGTCGGCGGACAATTAGAGCGAGAACAGCACCCATGGTACACTTGTGAAAAGCCCTGCAGTGCCCGCATGCATGGGTTGTGTGCTGCCTCCACCTTACATGTTGTTACAACGTCTTGGTCTGACAGCTCAAACCATGTGAAGAAAGTTCGAGAGCCTCGACTACATTTGAATGTTATGCAACGAGCATTCCGGGGCAAGGCCATTGCTGGATTTAAGTGCCTCCGTTGCACTCACTTTCATCAACGAGATCGCGAAACCAAAGCATGCGCAAGATTCATACACTGGTGCCAATGATCAATCTGTGTGTAAAGCGGTGTGGGCGGGCAGACAGATCGCTCAACTTTAGCTACGGGATCAGCACAGGTTGATGCCTCCTTTGTAAGCTGAAGAGAGAGAACATTTGGAATCCTTACACCTACCGTGACGGCACCCTGCTACGGTAATCTTGATCAAGGCTTCATTCAAGCGAGTGTGCACCTTCAAGGAGTGGCAAACGGCTTTCTCGCGATGTTTTATTTGAATGTATCCGTTGCTCCAGGCAACAGTAAAATATTTGAATCACGGAAGAATGTCAGCACACGCAAGCAATCTGTTCCAGCACCGAGAAGGTGCTCGGAGTTTGCACCCTCTAAATTGAAACTAGTTCGAAACTTGTAGAGACTCTTCGCTGGTGGCGTTCGCCAGACCCGCCAACATCCACAGATCTCCCTTCAAGCTACGTATGGTTTTGACTTATGGGATCGACGTGGCAACGTCAAGCCTGCGTAGATTTGGCTTGTTCCAAACAACTCAAATGTATTGGCCAATTCAACGTGACATCATCTTCTATATCGTTGTCCAGGCGCTACTCTTAGCTTGCTGTTGTCTTCTCCGTTTGCCCTCCACCCGTTCTTTCCACCGCGGTCGGGCGACCTAGCGCTGTTCACCGCCAAGCCTTTGGCTCGCAATCCCGCATCCCGGCGCCTGACGGTCCTTTCCATCCGGCGTTTCTTCTCCCATGGGTCCTCTTCAACGATGCTCCTAAACTCCAACTGTCCCATCGACATGCTCCCTCGCAGGGCGGCCGGTCGGGGTGTTTTTCCAGTGTGTGCTCCCCCCACGTGTGGGGGCTTCTCAAGAGAGCTATTTGGACTGTTGCCACCACCGTGGAACTTTAGTCGTGATGATGATGGCGAATGCAATGGTGATAGACCACTCGTGGGCGCTGACCTGTAAGGACCGGTTCGCCGGCATACGGTGAAGGCATCCACAATATTTTTTCAAAACGCTCGAATGCATACGCGGTCGTTCAGCGGGAAGGGGTTGGTGCGTTTCCAGAGTTTGCACCTCGCACATGATAGCTCTATCAACTAGGAGTACATGAAGGAGGGGGGGTAGAGCGCGAGATATTCGAAACGGCTTGGCCGTCTGAATGGGTTACGAAGTACTCCGTACTCCGTTAGGCTTCATCGATGGAACGGTCTCGTGCGGTTGGGAGTGCTGCACGTTCGTGGTGCTGCGTTAACTCAATTTTCGTTGTGATTCCGGTCATGATCAGACTGGAACCGTGTTGTCTCAGTCGGGACTCAAACTTGCCACCCTCCGTTCCAATCTCGCTAGGGTTTGAGCTCATAAATGTTGTAGAATACAATTCTGCTCTGTATGGACTACTATGTGCCTGTCTTTTGGCTACAGGTGCCATCTCAAATCCCCTACCAACGCGACACGAGGCCATATTGGTCGTACGCAGCTGCTCTTGAAAGTCATTGTGATATACCATCGAAAACGTGCGGGTGGGGGGATTCTCACAAGGACGGCGATAGGATCCCTTCGATTTGCGCGCTCCGACGTCGAGCGGGCAAGACTTCCTCAGCAAGCGCAAGTGCCCCCGCTGACCTTGAAATCAAGAAAATCGCGACACCAACAGCGGCAGGTACCAGTGAACCCAAGGGCACAGTCAACCACGTTGCGAAACTATGGACAGCTTGGCGAGCGGGTGGGTGTCGAATGTGACACATGAAGGAAGTACAGGGTACATGCGCATGTGATAGTCTATTTCCATTGCGAAAATATCACTATCGTGGCAACAAGATACTGTGGTCGCGCCATCCTTAAAAGGACGGTCACCGCACACTCTAGGCCTGGAGTGTCTCGCGGAGCAAGAAAACATTTCTAATGAGGAAACCTTCGCCTGCGATAAATGGTAATATCGATCTACTTCCAGCACTATCACCATTACACTTCAACGAGTACGATCTCTTCCGAGGCGGTAGCCTAGGCGACCTGTGGCTGCAACTGGTATGTACAGCCTCCTGAAGTCAACCCATACCACTACAGGACTGATGATGAGGAGAAAGAACGTCGTCATAGTTTTGCTCCAGACGCATATCCCACAGATGGTACTACCTACATGCCTCCGATGTGGACCTAGCCCCCAGGGAGTGGGTCCCGGCTGTACGTTGGGAGAGGTTTTTGGTGGGGACCACAAATATTTTTAGTCTTAGGCTGTAGACTAGTTGATGTTGTGCGGTGTTGGCCTTCAAAGGTGGGGATCGAAGGCTATCATCCAATGCTGTGAACAAGTTCAAAAACCCAGCATCTTCTGACCGCTGTTCAACCATGCAGGTCGCAAGACACTTCTACCTATTCCACGCCCTCATTTTGTCGAGAACTTTCATCTCCACTCACAGTTCACATTATGTCATCCAATCACGAATTGAGTCGGAGAGGGGACAAAAGGCTCTCGGTAAAGAAGGCTGCGGTGTTGTCAACGGTACTGGCGACACTCACCCTGGCTTGCCTTCCCGGTGCAGGAGGTCTCGATCTAATCCACGAGAGTCGACCTTATTCCACCGCTCTGTGATTCGGCTAACTCTGGCCTGCCAGGCTGGTCCCGCTCCCTGTTCAGCACCAGTAGCAGCAGTCAACAACCAATGTCTACAGTACGTCCCAACAGGCACAACTTGAACAGGCGTGCAATGGAATGCGGACGGTCAACATATGTAGACTATGCGCGGAAGGAACATGCATTCTGCAAGAACACACGGAATTGGTTGATGCATGAAATTGAATCGGCAGGAATAAACCCAAGTGCCAAACCACGTCCTCACCTGTCTATGCGGCGGTCCTGGTTTATTCTCCTTGTCACGGATCAAGAACATTTCCAAACCAGGAGGGGCGGACTTCGACCCCAGCAGCTTTCTATGACCTTCTAAAGGTACGTGAGAGGGGTCCTGCAGCGCTGTCGAGGTCGATGTCAACGTCGATTCCATACTTGTTGACCAAATCTGGGACGTGCTGCCGAAGCTTCCGGCAGTGCTTTCTGATGGCGACCCCGATGATAAGGGCACTGAACGCACTGAAGCCGTTGGTAACTTGGGGTCGGACCTCGACGGACAAATCGCCCGCATAACCTCCTCGGTGCGCCTCTGCCACCGGACTTGGGAAACGAAACATCGGTACCGCGAGTAACAAATCTTAATCTTTCGAGTTCAGCAAAGGTCTATCACAGTAGGTAGGTGAACACCCTCACCCAGCATGACATGAGAAACGAAAAACGTGTACGGTCGCCGACATATACACAACAGACGTTAGTGGTGGCTTGAAAGGATACTGCTAACCTCGAGACGTTAGCACTAGCGGAGTACATAAGGGTAGGGTTTTAGGGAAACGTGGTTGACAGCACCCGTCAGCATGTTGCACTGGAAGCCATCAGTTCATGTCAACAATTCATCAGTGCAAACCCCGCATGAAGAACATTTCTAACGTCTTTGTCTTTGGACCCATCTTTTATCCCATAAGCCAAGGCAATGAGCGCGTTCGCCAATGTAAAGGTACGGCTTGTAAATCTACCGTGTGGCCAACATGCTAGGCCCAGGACATCGATGCACCCACTCACGCTTGAGCTTTTTAAATCTTCGACCCTCTTCCCGCTCCTTCAATGTCATCTCTCGAATCTCGCTCAGGCCGACATTCTGGATGGCGCCATAGACAACAGAAAATTTAGATCGGAGTCGTTGCAGACACACAGCGTTGTTCCCTAAGCTGCAGAGGAATGCCATCATTATCTCGTTTCGAACAAAGACGTGAGTGGTGAACATGACTCGGAAAGTTTACGAAGTATCAAAAGGAGAGTCTACAGCTGTGTCACGCTTGTTGCTCTGGGGGAACCCAGGATCACAGCCGAGGGATCTTCTCCCTGGCCCCCCACATTCCTTCTGGGGTGTATGCGTTTGCTCACAGCAGCAGTAGTACCGTCAGCAGAAGGAGCAGCTAACCGTTTTGCGCCTATCATTCGAATGCTGCTGTGTCCAAACCAGCTGTTGCCGAACGATGCGAGTTGTACACCCTTTACATCTCACCGAGTCTTGTGGTACGAGCAAAAAGTAAAAAAATTTCCAGCAGAAGCATGGAGGTACTGGTGTGAACGCGTACTCCACGTTTTTATACGCTTTGGTGAATGCGTTCTATACTGTTGTACTATGATGCACGCTTGTACATGATGATGACGCGCCTTCCAGGCATTCGCGAGATTCACGTGCCCTGAATCAACTTAGGCATGCGTTTTCTCTTTACAATGTTGGATTTTGTCGCGTTAGCTTGACCACTTACCGTTCGATAGGCATGTATTACTGATATCGTTGTCAATGTTTGGACGTAATATGTATTCCTTCAGGTGTTGACGTACCGGTACACCTTGCTTCTCCAGCTCTATCTTCAAGGCCTGCTCAGCTGCAGCAATTCTTGATTTCGTTTCCTGGAACAGGGTCATGTCAGAATGATTGTGCGGGGCAAGGTGCGTGGAGACAGCGCAAGTTCATGCTGGTTATTCTGCGCCACGTTCTTTCGAGGACTCCCGCCTGAAAGGTGAAAGCGTACCAGTTCGTGAAACTGGAATTTGCGTTGGAGCACGCGGTGACGGCGATGAGCTGGCAGCGTAGGTGGATGGTCGTAGCGAACTGAAACACTTGTATTACCAACGTGCTCAATTGCGCTATGGCATGCGTGCTCGAATGGGTTGCTTTTCTTCTCGGGCGGCACAGCAAACCCTAACCTAACCCTAACCCTAACCGTAAGTAAGACGCACCAGAAACTCCGCTCTTTCGTACAATAACCCAAGCGTAGGGATAGCCCGAAAGCGACACAAACGGACGAGTGGAAAAATAACTTCCTCGTGTGCTGCGACATTTGTGCTGTATTTCACAGCGGACTGCACCTACCTTAATGTCGGTGAAACTATTGGCGTTTGCTCTAAGCTCCCTCTGAAGGCTGGCCAGGATTGTCTGATGGCCGTCTTTGGACTTCCTAAGCCGTTGTAGCTCCCCCTTACACTCTCCCGCCGTTCTGATTTCCTCAGTATGTCTGTGACCCAGCGCCGACAAACCTATCATTTCAGATGGGACTCATGAGTTTACAGTTTCGGCGTTGTTTCAGATGGACGACGGGGTGTTGTTGGTGTCGCCACACTTAGTGTCACTCAGATCTCTCTACCGCAAGCCTTCTTTTGTGCTCTTTAAATCAAGCATATGCTTTTTCGCAAGCATATGCTTTTTCGTGGTCCTAAGCTTGCCTAGAACACCTAACAAGCAAAAGAAAATGCAAACATTTACGAAGAAACTCAAGGATTAGACCAACAAGAGCAAAGGGAGACGAAACGCCCCCCCCGTGTAAAGTAGACCGCATTGCTTGGACTGGTGGTGGAGTCCCCTACAAATTAAGTATCCCGAACAGTCAAACGAACAATCAAACCTCGCCCTCACCTTCCCGAGCGGCGTCGATCATCGTTTTGTTTTGTCGAGGAGGCCTACCCCTCGTCACACCCTGGATGAAAGAGGAGGGCTACAAGCTAGAAGAGCGAATTACCATGCACATGACGGCACGGTGGTATGCCCTGTCCTAGAGGTATCTCTACGGGTTCCTAGAATAGACGAAGAAATTGCTTCATCACTAGCCAGGCTATGAACCATCACCCATCTTAAGGCGGGGGGGCGATCAGGCAACACGCATGGCCCCCACAGCGCTACCACTGCCGATGGACCAACAAGCACCTGAGAAGGTTGGTGACAAGAACAACCAAAAACTAACGCGTACCAGAGACTATAATAGCGATCGGGGCAAGCTCTTTACTTACGGTCAAACATGCCGCAGGTGGACGTGCAGACAAGAAACAAATGGTGGCAACACGAGACAAGCACAGACATGACTCACAACTCTTCGGGTGGGGCTAGGAACACGCGATATTTCCCTCTTCCTCCGTACATACCTACTTCTTGCAAGGCCATCTCCTCCCTCAAAATCTTGTTCGCCCGCATGTCCGTCTTTGCTTCACTCGCCAGAGCTTCGAAGGCCTATGCTCGAATGCGAAGGGGTACGATTGTTCCACCCGAAAATGTTCGACGTCGCTCCCATAATATATATAATTGAAAGTATTCTCAGAACAACAAGCCACCAAAGCATGGAGGCGAGGTGCGTGCAATGAATGACACAGGGCCTGAGTACAACATCTGCGAATTGTACCATGTAGCAGCCTAAATTGTCACTCTCCTCAAGTACTCTGTAGCCCCCTTTGGCCCTTGCACTCAACTTCCAACACAAACTGCGTGGGTCCAGAGGGTTCGCCATAATGGTAACGTCACTTGACGTAGGAGCCAGAGGCTTCACGCAACAACTTGAACTGACACCACCTCCGAGATAGGCGATGAACTGGTTTTGAAGTTTGAGGTGTTGTCAGAGTTTTCCGTTCTCTCCTAAACCCAATATAGAGCCGATATTGCCGTACTTGTCCATGTTTCACGGTGGCGATATCCAGACTAGACACCTGAATCGGCAGCTTTTGACCCACGATTGCGCGTAGTTTCGAAATCACAAGAATACCATCACGGGGGTGAACCTCGCTGCCTGCCTGCTACGACAGCCGCTCACATCCGACGCTGCAACGACGCCCTCGCACGCGAGGCCCGATTTCGGTGGGAGTTTTTGATTGAGCGGTGTGGTGGCTACCCGCCACAGTCATCTCGCTCCACTTCGGAGGCAAAAACGTGTTTAGTCGTGCGTACCTCATACACACAGCGGAACTTTGGGCTGCTCCACCTCAAGCACGGCAACGAATACCGACTACCTGCGGAAAACCAATTCACAGAGGCTCTCGAGTTGTTGCGAACCAACGTCAACCCATTTCGACTGCTCTCTCCCAAACGTGTGGTGTTGAGAAATTGCCGCAAGAGAGGTTGCCGCAAGAGAGGCACCAAACCACTACAAGGGAGCCTTTGCGATATTCTCCTTTAGAGCGACAGACCTCTGATCTACGCCAGGATGGCTTGACGCGTTTGTCACCTTGCGTCGATAGGTGCCCCCTAGGTCCTTGAGAGTCTTCCTGAAAGTTGACTCTAGTTGCTGTCTCAAGTGCAGAACCTCCTGCCGAATGGCGTGTACCTCCTCCCCGTGTGTCTGCCGAGTTCCGCGAAAAGAGCAACATCGGTTAGTCGGTTAGCAAACAATAGAACTGGTTCTCTCAAGAACCTGGTACACTTGAACCTCGAAAATGTCATAGCGACAAAGAACTTGAGACGTTCTGAAATGCCTCCCTCACTTAACCTATGTAGTCCCTGGTCAGTGGTGATCACCCAGCAGAGAAATGAGATGAGGCTCTCACAAAGTACGAACGCCTCGAGTGTGGGTAGGTGCTGTTTTCAGATTCAGATCGATAGCGTTTTCCTAGCTCAGACTGTACCACCTTGACGGCTCCGTCCAATATGGAGCACATTGAGGTAAACCTTGGTCGCTATATCCACCTTGTGGCCTTCTGTGTGAGCAATCCAGGAAATTTTCATCCCGCTTGTGGAAGCACCATCTTGGGTCATACCAGATAACTCCTCGTAAAAGCTACTTCCATGCCTAGCGTCGTTAAGTCTGGGATTCACCTTTACACAAAATATCGATATTGCTGCTGCGAGCGGGGCAGGGTGGTACAAAGGGAGAGAGAACAAAGGCTATGGGCGCAGCAGGGCAGACGAAGAGGCAGCGTTCCCCTTTCAACTAAGTCTAACCTTGGTTCTCTGTTCCATTTTTCGCAGCAAGGCGTCCACCTCCGCACTGATCTCCTCGTTCAGGCGTGTCGCTGTCTTGTAGCGTTCGTGCTTCAGGCCCAGCTGTGTTGCTTGTTCTCGGAGAACGGCCATTTTATGCGATAGCTCTTGTTGAACCGACCTTTTGCATCCGAAATGGGAGTGTCGTGAAGAGGTTTTAGAATTGGAGCAACGACAATAGATGCTCAAGGCCTAATCTACTACACTCAACATCGATGTTCAGCACTCCACCACCATGTTTGAATTAAGGGTCATACGGTCTCCGGCATTCTGCTTTCATCACTCTGACTTCAACACTCCACCCGCCGCTCACAATTCGAACAACATGAACTCGGATGCCGAGAAGAAACAAGACCGTTGGTAATGCTGCGTGAGCACAAGAAGAAATGTTGGTGGTCCTTCATACGCTGCGGGCAAGAGACATGTAGCTGGCCGGTCGCGGCACTCACGCGTGTTCATCCTGCAGCATAGAGATGTGGTACTCGTTCTTTTCCTGCAGCGTATTGACGTCTTCTTTCAGCCCACGGAGCTCCTCAAGCTGAAGCAGCAACGGCATTGTCACATCGGTACAGAAGGAAGGACGGGGATGGAACATGGCAAACAACGGCTGCCACGTCAGACTCGCGTTTTTGCGCAGACAACACTTCCGTGCCTCCGTTTGTTTAGATTCAGCTTGCGTTGCAATTGGAAATGGTTCAGCGTTTCTTTTTTAAGTACAGTATTTGTTGAATGATCCTTGGGGGTACTTGCAATCTTGGTACTTCACATGGGACGCATGACACATTGGACGCCGATGGGACACCCCAGGCACCACACGCGCCCCAAGTGCATCCCACATGGAACGAGCATTGCAGTCGCCCCCCGCCTGTGGGCAAGCGTTGGACGGCCCAGAGGGGCGCCAACAGGACGCTTTCATCGGACGCATGGGATGAGGGCCCAAACCCAAACCCTCACAGATAACTATTCCACCTCCCGATCGAGTATTTTGCGCATCATAACGGCATCTAGGTAGTTCTACATCAACATGAAATGCTACTCGAAGTATTTAGCGTACACAAGTAGACTACGGCTGCTGCAATGTATTGCGGCATTTTTTTTTGTGTACGAGTGGAGAGCGGGCAACCCAGCTGCTCTTGATGCCGCTGGTGAGCGATCACAAGGGCTACGTTGCTTTGTCACGCTCTTTTGTGCTAACTTGTGTAGCAACATCTCCACAGAAGTGCATTACTTCGAAGTACACTGTACCCTCGAGTACCATTTGAGGAACGGGATTGGCCCGCAGTACAGTCCCTTCTTCCCCTCGCTCCTCGACAAGCTTTTGCTTAGACATGGGTTGTAGTGAAGGGGGGGGTCTTTCTGGCGAGCAGGGCTAGACTCACCCTCAAGGGATGACCGAAACCTTCTTGCTGCTGCGCATATCCGCCGCGAGGCATGCGCGTGGT